TAAATTAAATTAGTACCGTACTTTAATTTAACTTTTACGTTTTAGTTAGTACGTAAGTTAAATTTTAAATTTTAAAATTTAAAACCCCTTAACCCCTACCGTACGTGTGTGTGTGTGTGTGTGTGTGTGTGTGTGTGTGTGTGTGTGTGTGTGTGTGTGTGTGTGTGTATGTATGTATGTATGTATGTATTATTTTGTTGTTTGGACCTTCACCCCAAAGAAGATAAGTAAAACCAGGTGCCATTCCATGCGTGTTCAGCTGGCTCAAGACAATCACATCACAGTCCATGAGAAGAACGAAGTGAGCACTGAAACGGCTAAAATGTTTCAACCAGCTAGTAGTTGACACACCCAAGGAAACTATCCTAGGCCTATAACATATCAGTGACAGTGCCAAATACACATTTAAATGGGAACTAAAGTTAATCATTATCATTATTTTCATTCAATAGCTTCAATTATATCATTTCATTCAGCAATTTAGAACAAGGTTCTTATCAACATATTGAAACTATGCTTGTTTTCATGTAACAAAATAAAATAACTAACATTGTATTATTGCTCATATTATTTTGTTTATTTGATCATATCTACTTTTCTGCCAGTAGTTTTAACTCCACTGCATTTAAATTCCATCTTTATTATGCTATGATTCTAATTTTCACATTTCTCACTGATTTTAGTGGAATTGGTAAAATAAATATCAGGAAAATAAGTGAAATTCCTGTACTGCTCAAACAAGTTTATTGACTGAGCATGTGCTGAATTGCAAAGCATTCTGGCCCAGTGCTGGGACAACATCAACACTGGCACCACTGTGCATTAGCAGTTTCATGCATGAGCCCTCATCATATTAACTCTAGCTGTAGGAATAAATAGTTTGTAATTGTTTGTAACAAAATGTACTCATTTTAGAAAGAAAAAAATTATAGACATTTAGATTTATTTCGCTATTTGTTGTTTTTTGTGTAGGTCACAAGGTTGATTAAATAAAGTAATCCTGAATACAATGTTAGGATAAAGAAAGTGACAGAAAAGGTTTTACTGGAAAACCATTTTTGATATTCATTTAGATGGTTCTAGAGGTTATGCGAACGAAATTTGAAAATTGAAATTTTTAACCTTAATATGAAAATCACCTTGTACTAAGTCTAGTCAGAATGGCTTTATAAATTCAGACAAATCTTTAGTAAAACCACATAAAAAAAACCTCACTTTTCTGTACAAAAGATTTGCTATGTTTACTAAATACTTACCAAATTTCATGAATGTATAACTACTACATTAAAAGTTATAGTATGTATTGTTTCCTGGTTACAAAGTGTTTAAAATGACCAAGCCCATATAAAAAGTTTATATTAGTAGTTCTAAACCTCAAACAGCTAACACTATGAGAAAGGACTTAAAGTAAATTGTAACAAGCTGTTTACCAGGAATGTTTGTCTGAAGTAGGAAAAGTTTAAGAAAAAACTGCTACAGATAAAAAGCAAGTCTCTTAATGCTGAGAAAAAAAAAAGAACATATGCCAAACTAAAGTCAAAATGGCCTACAAAGGAAATTAAATGAAAGAAAATACATTACAAATCCAAAAAAATATTTTAAGTGTTTGAATTTAGAAACCTATAAAATACTGAAGAACTATAAATAAAAACACACACACACACACACACACACACAACAAATAAATATCTAAGAAAAAAATATTTTTAAACATATACATATAGTACATCATACCAATAGTTCACTACAAATGTTATAAAAAGACGCCTATTACTTGGTATTCCGATGTACCAATTAAGTATCAGGATCTGTACCACGCAAGAGATTCAGTATTTGTTTTGTAAAGAATAAAGTAAACAAGGACAGTAAAGGAAAAGAATTAAGTATACTTGTAGAACAGAGAGGAACATAAAACACTTCATAAAGTGACCAAGATACTAGGGTCTTCTTACTAATACTGGCCAGCTTTTTAGTTGGTTTAAACAACTTAGCTGCTGAAGCAGAAAAGATAAAACAAATCTTCACAAGAAAAAAAATCCACAGGAATGTCTGAACTTGAAAAAAGACCAAAGGGCTGTGCTGATAACACAAAACTCTTAGATATTTCTAGCTATATTAACAATGTTGAGTACTACAGAATCACTAGGATCAATTTGTAAGTTTGGTTAGTTTGACAAATATTTGGCAAATTATCTTTGATTATAGTAAGTATAAGATAAGTGCATTTGTGTTATCATAACTTGGATAACATGTCTAATATAAATGAGAACCCTCACAATGAGACTGAATAAAAAGATCTTAGTGATGGAGAATGTTCTCTCTAATTTTTTCAATCCATCTACAGAATGAATTTTTTTATGTGCACCAGTATCAAGGCATTAGTTTTAGGAGCAGGGAGTATTTTAGACCATTGACCCTATTGGATCATTAGGCCATTTTGCAATGTTACCAGTAGATTATTTGGACTTTAGGCCTAGCAACTGCCAGGGTCATTAAGGCTGTCAATGTGTTGAGACTCCTCACCATTACTGAGGATGTGTGCAGCTGGAATAATAAAGTGCATGTCACTCGATTGATTGTTGTGCTGCTGCACAGCTTAGAGGGAACACTGATGATGGATAAGTCATTCAAGCCATCAAAATAGTGTTCAGTTTCTAGTAGAAATGTTCTAAATTTTATGGTGTACTTAAATTTATTACAGATCAAAAGACGTAACTATCTATATCAGGACACTTTATTTTTGAAAACATTTAAGAAATAATTACTTACCTTCACTGACACTCTCCCTCCCTTACTCCCCACTAAGAGCCGGTGTTAGTGACTGGAATAAGGCAAGTCTTGAAAAAGTGATTTATTGTCTGTATACAGTGCTTATATACAGTACCTGCATGTGTGTGTGAGGGCCAGCGTAAAGTTTTGCAAGTTAGATATTGCCAAGGGCAGTCAAGTAGGTATGTAAAAACTGGAGCAAGCGAAAACAATGTTAGATACCAAAGATGAAGATTGAGAAATAGCTATTAGTGTCAGCAAAGGTATGCATGTTTTGGAAGTAAAGATTTTTACAGGTTCATCTATCTGAAAATGGTTATGTTTCAAAGGTTAATTACAGGGCTTGCTTTATATAAATCACTAGTTAGGGCTCACTTGGAATACTGAGTACAGTATTAGTCTCATTATTTAAGAAAGGATATTGCTAAGTTTTATTCAAGACTACATTTATTTACAAGTCCAATGATATCTAGGGTTGACAACTGTCGAGCATTCTTACAATTCAAAATAGCGAGACTGCAATTATCCCCTGTATTTAGCAGTCAATAACCAAGATGTTTCCTGTTTTTAAAACCACAGATTCAAGCCTATTGAATTGATTACCGATTTAAATAATTAAGAACTTATTCAATAATTCCCCATTCTCCAGTACATTATGTTTACCTATGTAATTGACACGTACCCTCTAAAATGCTTCAAACTGCAAGGGATTATTTCAAAACATATCCCATAATGCCTCATATCAATAATATCTCTAGCATCCTTGTGCCATTGATAAAATTATTTGCCACAAAATGAAAATAAGACCAAAAGATTACACACAACATCTGCAGCAACACTGATATTCAGATATGTTTCTACTATTATTTTAATGTAAAAATTAAAAAAAACAAAAAACATTTGTGTAAATATGTGTAGCTTTCATGTAACATTGTCCAAAAAGTCATTAAGTTGGCTTATTTCAAGAAAGCTACCTTTGTTTCTTTGTTGATCTCTGGATAATACTGGTTTTTCCCAATGAAGGTAATGGGTGGACAGGTAATATAATGCCACAATTAAGATAGTTATCAACCAAATTTCAGACAGAAATCTGTACAAACAGGTTTGACAAAAAGTGAAAGGCAAAAATCTGTCAGTACCTATTTGAAGGTGAACAAGTCACCCATCATTCTAACCCCAGATGGTTCCCATACAACAGACAGCAAGAAACCCATTTGGAAACTGTCTTGTGGAGCAACAGCAATCTGCATAAGGTTAGCGAGCTATTCAAGTTTCCCACATGCAACATAAAAATAAAGCTAGAAGTCATGAAGCAAACTTTTCTGGATTACTAAAAGTAATGAACTACAAATACAGTGTTACAACATAATTTTTGCAAATGACTTGCAGGTTTCACTATGTGAAGTTTAAAGATTGGTTTCTATATGGATGGCAGATAACAAAACAAATGTATGATAAAACCATCAATTGGATGTATGTGCCTGTCCATGTAGGGCTAAAGCTAATTGAGAAAACTGCTAAGGTCACAAGAGAAGCTCCTAATTCAAATACAGTATAACTACTGGTAGAATGTCAACCTCCTTTGAACTAGTAGGGTGAAAACAACAACCAATAAAGGTAAACATCAACATCCAGAGGGAATAAGATGGCTATAAAAAAAAAATGCATTTTGTTACTAGGAAAAGCAATATATTAGGAATCAATAAGACAGTATACAGTTAGAAGACCAATGGTAATATCAGTAAACAAACTTCTATTTCCACATGAGAGGTGAATGCAACTTCTGAGATTGTCACCTAGTACTCAACTGACACAAAAAAAGTTATTGAATATCAAGAGAATGTTTTCTGCCTAATCATTTAATTAAATTTCTTACTGTTACACTGCCTCAATCTTACCACAAGACTTGCTATAGTATGACAGTAAACATACAAGAGAAATGTGCATTTGCAACTCCAACCGAACCATCTTTGACTATGACAAAATTCAGAGAAATTCTTAATTTGATACCATTTAACTTCAATGGTCAACAGTGTTGAATAAACACAATAGAGTATGTTTGAGCAACAATTTAGTTCCATAACCTTTTCTATACTACTGGCTTAAAACGTATATAGTAAAAAAATAATTGGTTAAAGACAATGTTCATTCAAATATTAAATCTTTCATATTTCATTTAGTGTTCAGTAAATTTATATTTTGGTTTAAGTATCTCATTTACTCTACACAAAAAATTGTAGAGTAATGAATGAGAACTGTTTAGTTTTATGTAATGCAATTTTGTTTCTGGCATATTTATAATGAAATTGAACCCAACCTTACTGTTATAATAGGTAAGATATGGTTAATGTAAAGATTTAATGTTTATAAAAATAAAGAATGAGTAGGCTTTCACACAATGCTATATATGCCATTCACCCATTTCCTCTCAATACCAGTTACTAACAATAACTGATGAATTGTAATCTCCAACATACCAACCACAAAGTATATTCAAGTGACATTCTTCCAGTAGCAATAAAGAAGTAATGGCTAAATGTTTTAGGTTGACGATATTTTCAAGCATTTAGAATAAAAAAAATTACCTCCAGAGCTCGCATGTATTTGTATATGTCATTGACATATTCTGTGACTAACTGTGGATTCCCATCATCTTCTGCATCAATGTTTTCAACACTGGGAGGAAGAAGTTGGGAAGAAAATGCTTCAGCCAAATCATCTGCACTAACATCCATTGGTACTGTCTGATCCTATTTTTTTCAAAGAGAAAACAAACAAAACAAAACATGAGATTTATCCTAAGATATACTACTAACAAAAACATAGAATATACTGTATATAACAATATGAGCACCATCATATATAATATAAATATCTGATGAAAGTAAAAATCACACAAACTGTACTAAAATTATGAATACATACATTATACACATACATAATATAATCTGCACACTTTGAAACCACTGAAAAACTAAGACCCTGAAAAACTAAGATACATTCTTTACAGTTTATAATTTTACATTTTATCAGTACTTTAAATACTTTGTTGTAATATCCTTTTTAGCAACCATCTCTAGAAACTTTACTCTTTTTTTTTTTTATGAATACCAAATAATTTTTCAATAATGAAAGAAATATTATTTGTCCACCTTTGGTTTGTGAGGAACTTATAAACCACATTTTAGTTTATTCCAAATTAATTTTTGCAGTAAAATATAAAAGATCTCCAACAATGTTTAATTTATTATGCACAGGATGAAAATATCCAACAATTCTATAACCTAATATATGTACTGAATTTCAAAAAAAGTTATAATTCAAACCGATTGATTTTTAATTTCCTTATTAAAATGTACATTAAATTTATCAATCACCCAGTACTTTATAAAAACATTCACAACAAAAAGAATAAAACAAATTACCAATTTTGGACATACATTTTCACTTTTAAGTGGGTGTTTTGACAATTCACTGTTTCTGGAATAGCTATTCTGCACAGGAGCCTAAAATAAAAATATGCTTATAAATAAATAGAATACAAGACTATATATCCTCCGCAAAGTTTATATTAAAGTTTTCTATAAGCACAAAATGAACCACATATATAACTTATAAATTGAAAAAGTTACCATTCAATTAACTGAAATAATTTTATCTAATTAATAGGTACTCAAATGTTAATTGTTACTTCACAAACTGTTAAGATTTAACTCCTTACAGCTTTACGAGTTTAAACATATACATAAGTAGAGCATTGACCCATCATGATTACCAACTTCATATTTTAAGGTTGCTGTAGCTATATATAAAAATCAATTTGTATAAGCAAGTTTCATTGACTGTTTAGGTGCTGTTTATTTGGAAAGATCTATAAACATTCTCTTCAACATTCTACTAATATGACTTCTGTAGGTATATCATATCTAATATATTTTGTCTCTACCTTCTTTCTGTAGGAAATAAATTCAATTTCAGTTATTTAGTAACTTTGACAAATACAAATTGAGAGTTCTCTTTACAATCTTAACAAGATGTTTGACATAGTGCTAAAAGTTAGGGGTTTCCAGTAGCATTAGTGGTCCAAGGAAACTTCCTTAGTAAGTGGTAAAAATCCTGAGATTTGCTTCTATAAAAAATTTTAAATAGTAAAATTCACCTTTTCTTCCCAACTACAGATGAGATAATTAATCATTCAATTACCTATGAGCAGCAATTGCATTGATTAGTGTCATGTAAACAAATTAATTAATTGAAATTACAATTAAATCAATTGTCATTAAAATAATCAACTAATTGAAATTAAGGTTTCTGATTATTACTGTTATCAGTTATTCCAACTATACAAGTAATCAAAATATTTCTTTAAATCTCTATCATATTGTTGTGAGGAACAGAGGTACATAATGGGCCAATTGTGGCCTTTGAGGTTTGTTTTTTTACTCAACTTTCTTCAGCTTTGGTTATTCAAGTATCTTGGGTTTGATTTCCATTTCCAAAGTTGCTTGCCTTGTCTTTGTTACAACAAAACTCCTGAGGCTATCTGCAAGTCACTAACCTTAAACTATTAACAAGAGGGAAGGCAACTATATCGCAGCATCTGTCATCATCCCCTTTCTTCTTTTACTGCAGAACCTGCAACTTGTTTCTGCTTGTACATACCATGATTTGAGGAACACTTCACTAATTACCCAGCTCCAATGATGGATCAGCATAAATACCACAGTATATAAGTTCACCATAGAAAGAATTTGATTCAGCAAATTTCATATTTCAAGATAATAAATTCAAACACTTCCAACAATGTCATGCTTATTTGGCAAAGAAAAAAGCTCAAGAAATCTCCAGCAAATGGAATGACTGCCACAAAATGTAGACTTAATTTCATAGAACAAATTTAGAACTTCCTGGACTTCATCCTGAACAAAAATATTAACTTAACTAAAGAAAGCATCTAAATACAGTTAAGGAAAATTGAATCAAATTACACCAGAGTTTAAAAAAAACAGACAATCATAAAGATATCACTTGAGATTCACTTGTTGGCAAAAATGGCCACACTAAATATTACCACTGAAGAAAGAAAGACATTATTACTGCATTAATTGTTTTTTTTTTTGAAATTTATGTCCTGTACGGTTAACATACAAATATAAGAAGTTACTTTATATAGCAAATTTTGACTTGTGTGTAAAACTCATAAAATAAAAATTATTGGTGTTCTAATAAATTTGTGCACAACAAAAACAATTTCACAACAGAGTAACCAAAATATTCTCTATCTCTGTTTTCGAAATTTAATGAAATTTAAAGAGTCAACACAACACAAATAAAACCTCTAAAGCATGACAAATAGATATTGTTAAACTAATGGATGCTCTATTTATTAACATAGATCAAACCAGAGTATTTTGATAAGTGCTAATTAAAGAGCATAACTAATAAACAACAATGTAGCTAGACCCATTTTGAAGAGAAACACATCTCATCTTTATGTAAACTAGTTTATGAAAGAGCAGGTGTAAGATACAACTTATTTCATCAAAATATTGAGTCAACGTCACAAAGAACACTGCATAAGTCACCCAAATTACACAAAATTTGACCAAAATTAAAAATTTTCTTAAATGAAGAGAACCAAATGTTGATGATCCAACAAAGAATGCAACCGAAAAAAACAAAAAAACAATGGGACCATAAGAATGAAAACGAAGAAGAAAAGTGGTTACAGGGGCAAGTAAAAGAGGAATAATTGGTTACATTATGACGAAGACAACAATGGCATAATATTCTGTAAGGTATGGCAAGAAGAGAATGTGAATCTGAAAACTACTAATGGACTATTTGCAATGAAGAAAATGCAAATCTCAAAATGCTATTAGTGGTCTATTAGCATAAACAGCCAGTAATCGCTCTGCACGTATTTTGTGCCAAATTGAAAATCTGTTGCCATAACAATTAACAAACCCTTAGCTAATAGACCACTGATAGTTTTCAGAATACCACCTCATTATTGGCCAATCATATTTGGGTATCTAGCCCTACTTGTCAAGTAAGCATTTAACGTAACTCAATTCTAATTTTTTTAATGAAACATATCTCTTAAAACAGAAACCAAAAATAACATACAGTATCGAAGAGACCCAAAATTCCCAAAAAGCATCATACTAGCACTTCGTCAATAGGACAGTAACATTTTCTACAGGTGTATTTCCTCTTTCATTCACGATTACTCATTAAAATGTTACCTGACGTGCTCAGTGCAGAGCATGCTAACATTTTTACATGTCATTTCCAGGGGACAAAATAGTTTTAACACACTATAGCAACTAAATGCAGCATTAAAAGTCTTAACTCTTTGTAAGGACTTCACTAAAGAAAGAGGGGTAAATGTTATGTTTTTATTATAATAAAATTTTTTTTATTCAGTTTAAAACCTTAATATTTAGCTGTACCATACATGGTATTTCATGAACAAAATAGTTCCTGGTATATAAAGTAAAACTTCAAAACTACAAGAAATACCAAACACCTAAGCTGTCACAAAATAATGAACAATTAACTAGAGAACTGAACAAGTTTTCCACAAATCATTTCTCAAATTAATCTAGTTTATTTTTTTTTTTAGTGAGACCTCATTACTCACTTCACAATGTGGTCTCCTTGGCCTTTTTGAAGATGAAAATGTATGGTGACTTTTCACCAGTAACTACTCTTCTCACCAAGAGCACTCTTTACTGTGCATGTCATAAGGTTTTTAGTTACACTTAAAATTTAATTACACTACTATTTGTTTGTTCATATCATCCCAATCAGCATAGCATAAAATTGTAGCAAATAATCCATATTTTTAATTGTATACAATTTTTAATTTTGTACAGCAATATTATAAAAAGATCCTGAATTCCCCCTAGTGTGATAAATTTGTTCTTTAGGCATCCCCTCTTTAATTTATTTAGCACCCTTTCAAGAAGTATGAAATTTAACATAAATTACTATAACAAAGCATAATTTTCACAGCCTTCAATTTTTTTGGTTACTGAGACAAATACAAAATCAGACCCCTCTTGCCAAACCCACCTGTCACATCCTCTTTTACAGAATTTGTCAATAGTTCTATCTTACATTCAATACTATTATTTTTAACCAACGGAAAGTCAACATTTTCATCTACCAAATAGCATATTAAATTACATTGTTTTCTGTACAAAAAAAAATTAATTTCTCTTTCAGTACAAGCTTCGTCCCCACACGAAACACATGAACTAGCTTGGATGAATTTGTAATAGATTTTGTGCCATACCTAGAAAGCCAGAAAAACTTGTGATAGTTATGGAACATTGTCTGCTTTTTGCATGTTATTATTCTGTGTTCTTTGTTGCATTATTTAATTAAATAAAAAATTTAGTACAGTAGTAGCATTAATATAAAAAGTAGGGTTAAGCTTCAACGACAGTCAACAGCAAAAAAAAAAGACACGGGTAAGTATTTTTTTCTTGTTTTTCATGTGTATTCTTTATTTATTATTTAAAAAGTAGCTAAATTGTAAAAATTAGAAACTTTTAGGTTAAATCAAGTAAAATAAAGAATAATGATAAAAAAATTTCACAAGGTATGCCACAAGTAGCCTGTGCATTATGTAATTTGATAGGGTAATGTGAGCTACATGTTTGCCAAGTGACTTACAACATTTGTGGTGGGAAAATTAGTTAGCCATGGTTCAAAGAGCAATAAAACAATAAAATGTAAGTAGAAACTGATGTATGCTGTAACAAATTTAAAGCTATTTAGGATAAAAAAAATGTAGTTTCATGTTACAATTTGAAGTAGTATAGAAAGAAAAAGAGGGTAATTTAGATTTATTTTGATTTTTTTTTTAATGGTGGTTACAAGGTCAGTCAAATTGACTAACCTTGTATAGAGTTAGAGAAAATAACAAATGAAATGGAAAGTTATACTGAAAAAAAAAACATTTGAAGTTTATTCAGAAGGTTTTATAGATTATATAAATGAAATTTGGGGTTTTTCAGGTGAATAAATGTGTTTGTAATCTTAGCATGAAAATCAGAGTAGTCAACACTTTGATTTCATGTATTCATGGAAAAATGTTTAGTGAAAATATTTCATTCAAAAATCAGATTTTTTGTTTACAAAAGACTTGATGATTACTGAAAGCTTGTGAAATTTTGTGAAGATACTCAAAACATATTAGAAGTTATATCAAAAATATAAAGGTCAGTTTGGAGTCACGAACTGAGCTGAGCCCAAAGTGAGAGAGTGAATAATGGAATTGATCATGCCATTATAATGCTCTTGTAGCTGAAAGAGTAAACACATTTGGTAGTCCAAAAGTTGATGGTGAGTGCTGCCAGCCAGTTTCTTCTATCTGGTTAACAGATTAAAATTAGGGATGGCAGCATATAGTCTTACTAGCTTTGCTGCAGCTTAAAGAAACTTGCTCAGCTTCAAATACATGCCGACTGACCTCACACACTACAAGATAGTTAGTGCTACTTCTGTGGGTGCGGAATTATGCATGTGTTCTACTTGTGCACAATGCATGATTGTGATGTGGCTTAGTTGCCATTGATTAAATCGCAAGTCACAGTTATACCTGTTTTTTATGGTTATCTTGCTTGAACTATTGTATAGCCTTAACTTATTATATATGTATTATATGCAACAAATGTAATGTTAGATTGTTTAGTACATGTACATAACAAAAAGGGGGCTTGGAAACTCAACCTCTCCTTAGCCATAAACTTTTAAAATTAGTCCAAAACACGCACACACACACATATATACCATGAAAATTCAGACATAGATATAGTTGAATCATTATTTTTTATTTGAGGAACTTTAAAACAGTGAGAAATATACATTTTTTTTTATTTTCTCAATAACTATTATGATATAGAGTGCAAACATTTATAGCTTTGATTCAGACTTTCAACTGTGAGTACCTTTTTTTGGTGCATAAATATACAGAAGCTTTCTGAAATAATTATTATAAAATATTTTGGTATCATCTCATTTATAAACTTAGGATTGGTGTAGTAAAACACAACTCTTTTTTTATTTTTATGGAACTCTTAGTATTACGTTTACCATTTTACGAGATTTTTAATGTAGCATTTCAATGTAAAGTGTTAGAGTATTTTCATTATATTCAAGTCAATTGTCAGTTCTTGACAATACCCTGGAATTATGGTACATAAGTGCTACCCTGGTAGCCTACCTAGTGATATTCTGTTTTATAGCAGTTAGTGTGACAGTTTGATAACTGATGTGTTGCTTCAAGAAAAACCAGTCTGCGTAGTCTTGGTGAAGTAATGTTTTAGACAAATTGTTTTTTTTAATAATAGTTCTTATTTTCCTTACATGAAGAAATGCAATTAAAATAACATTACAACAAATATATGTGGTTGATGTTTATTACATAATTCTACATATGTCAAAAATTGTTTTGTAAAGATTGCTCTATTCCACAGCATCTCATGTACACTTTTTTCACCATTTGTACAACTTGCTACAAATTAAAAATCTGGAAGTTAATAATGTCTCATGGCCACAATTATTCAATAGAAAGAAATAAAAAATATTGGTTGTTCTTAATATTTTTTTGTTTTGCTTTAATTTTTAATGTATTTTAATTTATTTTGTTCATAACTATTTCAATGGTTGCTATACAATTAGTCCAACATATTGTGATTAAACGATGCAGAAAATATCTAAATGTTATGCTCTTACTTAAAGCTTAAATGACATACAACTTACTTTATCTGTGTATATCAAGCAGAGTTTATACTACTGGTCTTGTGTAGTTTCATGTCAAGCTGATATGATTTCACACATTGCGAATTACTTGGCTGCTGTAATATTAGAAACCACTGTGATGGATGACTCATGTCAGTGTAGCAGTAAATAGGTATTAAAAATGCACTTTTCCATTATTTTATTCAGTCAATTTTTGGTGAAAACCTATGATACCAATATGAATGGTTATGTTTTAGCTTCATTAAGTATTTGGGTATTATTCTATATTTTTTATGTTCTGTGTAGCAGACTTTTCTAATTACTGTTTTGTTGTTTTATTATTAACAGATGTTATTAGATCAGCTGTTGGAGCACTTTTGTGGATAATGGTACTTGTTGCCTGGATTGTGCTGTTCCAGTTGAAAAGAGCAGAATGGGGAGAGTTTGCAGACAAAATTTCTTTTATTATTCCAACAGGAATTCCATAATTTTTACTTAAAACATTAATTTTTCACCTATACATCAGTACATTGTATTTTAAGTGTTTTCTTTGAAAAAGAAATATTTGAAAGATGTATATCAAATTTTTCATCGTGAAAACTTCAGAGAAGTAAGAATAAATTATTTTTCTTTAAATTATTATCTAACGTGCTTGTAAGAATAACTAAAATTGCATTGATTTATGAAAACCAGATAGTTCATATTATAAAATAACTATGTCAGTATAAAAGCCATATATTGTTTCTTTGATTTTAAGATATTTCTGCATGTGTAACAAATTATATGAAATATTTCTTCATGCTTTTCACTATTATTTTTTGACGTTAGAAACTCCATGATCTAAATAATGTGACTTGTAATTTCCGTACTTGTACAGATGGTCTCTGGATAACTAAGATAATGTACAATACAACTCTATTAAGGGTCCAAACTCTGTCTTTAATGACATGAACTTTATTGTATGTGCATGTTTCTCTTGAGGGTATTGCCAACTAAAATTATAATGATAATTTCGCAAACTAAAATTTTCAGTTTCCTGTCATAGCCTTAACTTAAGTTACATATAAACCATCTGTAGATTTGTGTCAGGCTTAATGTGAATTTTTTCAGCTCAAGCTGTACGCCCTATACAAAACATGTATTTGTTTAAAAGGTTTAGAAAATTTGACTTAAACCTACGTGGTACTTCCTCATACTTTAACACGCTGTTTGATCATGAACAGAAGCATATGCAGTTTTAAACTGGAGGATTTTTTTTATACACGTAGTTGATGGTGTTTAATGGAAAATTCTTAGGACTAAATCCTTCCGTTGTTCACAAAGTGTAAGATGAGACTATTAAAGAAGGAATTCCAATAAAACATAATTAACCTTATAAAATATGTATGGAGTTTTGGGTCCGTGTTATTTCACCATATAGTAACCTAAGTTAATTATATACAGTCATTAACCTTATAAAAACTTTGCATATCAGTAAATTTTTATTATTACTTGATGAACAAGAAATAGTAAGTTTCAATAAAGGTAACTAGTTTTGCTTTAAAAAATATACTGAAATTAGGTCTTTGTTGATTTATTCTTTGTCAAATTTTATTACTGAATTATGCATGAAAAGAGTTATTGAACATCATTTTTTGCTCTGGCTTCTGAATACTTAATAGCATCTGTGAAAAGTTGTCTCCCACTCTCAGGTCTATTCATAAATATTATAATACCAAACTTACTCTGTATAGGATATGCATGAAGTGACTGGACCATGGTTGTCAGTTGCACTTTAATAAAGGTAAATTGTAAAAAATATGAGAAATCAAAATAATTACTGTTTATTGTGTACAGAATAGAGTCAAAAATCTATTAGGATAAAACTGTCAGAGATTGTGGTTGGTTAATTTAGTTTGTTCAAACATCAGTTCATACAAATAAATAATTAATAATATTTCAAGTTTATGACAAGCACTTAACTGTACTTTCTCACTTCAAAAGAACAAGAAACTTGCATTTACTTTTGTATAAAGGCTTAATTTGACTTTTCATTGTAACAAGTTTAAGTTTTTTTTCTTTTATTTACTGCAGGTCATTTTCTGTAAACCTGTTATGTAAAAATCACTAATAAAGTTAATTTATGTATATCTTAAACTTTTGGATTTGGAGTATATTAATGTCTCTTGTTTTTTTTTTTTTTGTTTCTTGTTTATGTCTAATAAAAGAAACAAAAATGGCTGATGGTCAGGTTTAAACATATGTAATGACATTGGTAGTAAAGCATATTTAAACAGTGAGAAGACATATCACACAGAAGTCCAAAAATTGTTTCAATTAATATAATGTAGAATGTGCATGGTGATAAACACAGCAATTAACCTAGCCCACACTTTACACCTATAATCTGAATTTGTTTTTATGAAGTACCACTGCTGAAATATTTTCCTGGATAACTAAGCATTTTAAGAAAAGTAAATGAAGAATAACATAACAAAATATAAAGGCAACAAGAGACCTGTTGATCCATCTAGATCACCCCATTTACTAAACTTAAGCTCAAAGCCAGCCCTTATCATTCAAATATTTATTAAGTCTTCCCATAAACTACTTAAAATTTACTGCATCCACCACATATGAAGTCAATCCATTCTATGGGCCAACCACACAATTAGTGAAATAAAACTCATAGCTGAAAATGATTCTTAACCTAACCAAATTCATGTTTGTGTCCATTAGTGTCATGTTCTACCATTAAGTATGAAAAACGTTGCATTTACACTATCAGTTGCCTTAATAATCTTTAACACCTCAATCAGATCCCCTTAACTCTTTTTTTCTTTTCAAAAGAAAACAATTTCAGGTATATTAACCTGTCATCCTATGACAGCCTTTCCATCTTGGATGTCATCCTGGTAGTCCTCCTTTGAAACCTTTCCAACAATTCAAGGTAGGATGCTCAAGACTGAACGGAATACAACCATCGTCTAACCAGTGACCCCATACAATGAAATTATAACCTCTTTTAAACTTGAATTCAATATTTCTGTAGATAACCCTAAAATCATGCTTTCTCTAACGCTAGTCACAGCACACTCCTTTGATGG